GCAGCACTCACACCTGCATGGTGTGACATTTTGATTAAAGTTGTTCTAAAGGTAGAAAGTGTTTTTTTTTTTTTTTTTTCTTTTTTTTTCTTTTTACACCTTAATGCATTTTAAGCATTAAAGTAAAAAACCTTCTGCATGCAGCTCCCTCCACTGCTAAATACTTAACTGAGCCTAATCTCAATCCAGTGCTGCACATGAGAGCAGCAGGTCTCCTGACTTGCTCTCTCTTCTCACTGGACGGAGAGGCAGCAGCTAGATCCATTGGCCCCTGCTACTGTCAATTACAGCCAATTAGCAGGGGGGGGGGGGGCAGGCCTGAGCTGTGCTCTTTGTGTCAATGGATACAAAGAGCCCGGGAGGAGGGCAAGCCCTCCTGAGTGCCCCTATAGCAAGTGGCTCTGTTCAAAACCATTACACAAAGCAGCTAAGTATGACATGTTTGTTATTTTTTTAAATAAAATTTGATCCTTTAAAAATTATATTTGATCCTTTACAATCACTTAAAGGGCTAATTCACACCAGCCGCTGTGTTGCAGTGCAGCAGCTGGTGGGTGGTGCAGTTGCATCACCACAATGCCAATTGTGGCGCATCGCACTGTTCACTTTTTTTTTTACATCAACTTTATTGAAAGGTCACACAGTGACATTTTGATTTAACTTGTATCGGCCACCGCGTGACAGCACACCAGTGCAGCAAAGTGATGTGACAGTTCACTTTGCCTTGTGGTGGTATTGCACCCACCCAATGCAGCCCCATCATGCCTGGTGTCAGTAGACCCTGAATGCTGTTTGTTACTTATATCTGCATGGAGTTTAGCTTTAATAAAATGTACAGCAGCTGTGAAAGACTCCAATGGTTGCCATATGGACACTGCCCTTGAGTAAAGATTAGCAGACAGCCTATTTTAAATGGTTTACCAGTCTTTAAAAAGGAGAGTATATAAAGGTTTCCTTTTGAAGGAAGTTCCAGAATGAAGCAAATGTGTAGGTAAGACTAATGCAGGCCATAGATGGGTCGAAAATCGGACGATTTTTTTCGGCCGAAAAAAAAAAAAAAATCGGCCAATTTTCGCACCGTTAATGGGTTAATTGGTCGGCTGGTTTTCTGGATTTTGGCACATTTTTTTTTTATCGGTAAAGTTGGAAAGAAATCGGCCGATTTTCGCGGCAATGATGGGCAAATCGGCCGATCTTTTCACCAATAAAAAATCTGCTCATGAGCCGTGACCTGCAAGAAGAAGGAAAAGAATAAGAATTCCAGTCCGCTATTATATTTGACATGAAAAAGTATAGCGGTTGCAACATTGTATCTTTTTGTATCCAATTAAAACCATCTGTATGCGAAATGGATACAAATAGATACATTGTTGCAACCGCAATACTTTTTCATGTCAAATAGAATAGCGGACTGGAATTCTCCTTCTTTCTCCTTCTTTCTCCTTCTTTCTCCTTCTTTCTCCTTCTTTCTCCTTCTTTCTCCTTCTTTCTCCTTCTTTCTCCTTCTTTCTCCTTCTTTCTCCTTCTTTCTCCTTTCTTTCTCCTTCTTTCTCCTTCTTTCTCCTTCTTTCTCCTTCTTTCTCCTTCTTTCTCCTTCTTTCTCCTTCTTTCTCCTTCTTTCTCCTTCTTTCTCCTTCTTTCCCTTCTTTCTTCCTCCCTTCCTCCTTCCTCTCTTTCCTTCCTTCCTCTTTCTTCCTCTCTTCCTCTCTTTCTTCCTCTCTTCCTCTCTTTCTTCCTCTCTTCCTCTCTTTCTTCCTTTCTTCCTCTCTTTCTTCCTCTTTTTCTTCCTTTCTTCCTCTTTCTTCTTCTCTTTCTTTCTTCCTTCCTTCCTTCCCACGGCTCATGAGCAGATTTTTTTATCGGTAAAAAGATCGGCCGATTTACCCATCATTGCTGTTAAAATCGGCTTATTTTTTTCCAACTTTACCGATAAAAAAAGTGCCAAAATCCAGAAAACCGATGTCAAATATAATAGCAGAGCTTTCTGCAGGGACAGAAGTGATTAAATGCCGGCCGTAGAAGGGACGAAAATCAGCCGTTTTTTTTTTCTTTTTTTTTTTTTTTTTTTTTTTTTTTTTTTTTTACTGTTGGTGGTAACGTAGGCCTATTGAACGACCGATTTTTCGTTTTCTTTTTTAAAAAACGGCCGGTTTTCGATCCGTCAATGACCTGCATTAGACTTTGGGCATTGACCTTTGTACGGCGCTATGACCTCTGTGTAACTTTTAGCACTGTCTGATGTCTTTAGAATCGGCGGCTCCGCTGCCTTTCTCGTTACATCATCCGTTGACTGTAAGCAAACCAAGCCAAAGTAACCCTTCTGTTTATTTTAAAAAATGTTTGTACAGGATGTTGGCACGGACATGTGCCAGCTCAACATTAGCAAAGCTCTTAGTTGACAGCAGAGGTCCCGCAGTACAATACATGGCAGTGTACTGAGGTTATATAATAAGAACTAGCCATGCGAGGCATGAAAGTTTTCAATGAATCCTGAGATGATTAAACAAATGCCTCAAAGTATATACACAGAGAACCAGTCAGTCAGAAGAGACTGGTTAACCCTCAGGGTAGCGAACAGAGTCGAAATTGGAAAGTGAATGGCACTTTGAAACCAAATATGAGACTCTTGCATGTAACGTGTTCACCTTTACAGAAAAAATGAAAAGGTAAAATAAAGTCAGTCATACATGCATCAAAATTCGTCCAGTTCAGTAGGGACCCATCGAATTTCAGTCCATGTATGGGCATCCTGGTTATACACAAGTCGATATAGCCGTTGGGGTTTTCCTGCATGAATAATGTCAGTGGCTATGGCCAGCAACACTAATCATTGTGTTCTGTCAGCAAGGGAAGGTTTCCCACTGGCAGAACACAAGCTGCGGGAGCGATTCCCCCATAAACACGGACTCTGGGGAATTGAACAATTTTCTGGGTGGAAGGAAAGAAAATTGCATAATCTATGGCCTGCCTAACACTGTACACCTTCCCCACTCCCTGGGCCCTGCTGTATTTACCTCCGTGGGTGATGATCTGTCAGTGCCCACTTAGCCTGTTCAGCAGTCCAGGGATTTGAAAAGCGCTCTTCTCTGTGCCAGGCCTCTGGGAGCGATCAGAGTGATTTATGATTGGCCAACCTTGGTACAGAACATTCCTCTGATCTG